ACTCAAAAACGAAAAACTTCTCCCTAAAATCCCTAAAACTTTCTTAAAGAAGAAGTTTGCCTTCGGTATTATCCTAAGATGGCGGGCCCACAGCAAAAATAGTGAAATAATCCTTTTTAGCTGCGTGCTAACACCATGTGTTGGTAATAGACTGGCGAATTTTGAGGAAACTTCTGTATTTTCCATGTTTCCAGCCACTCTGCAGTATACTTCCGCCAAGTATTGATTTATGTACCGATGTAACGCGATCCGGGTTCGTAGGATGAAGTGGGAGTTTGGAGGAGGGAGGGAGGGTAAAAGCAAGATCAACTATTCCCACTTCCCTTTTCTCCAGCACTATTCCTAGTGTTAGAGAAACATAATTTACTACCAAATTTTTTCTGAGGGAAAGGAAGAAGGAAAAATATCGTAAAAAGGGTAGCCATCTTGACCCATGTGATACCTATGAAGGATTAAGGAATCAATAATAAAATGAAACAAGTCAGAACTATTGAGCAAAACTACTTCCAACTGCACCAAAAGTCCAACCGATGTCCCTGGATTGAAACTCACAACCTGATGATTGCAGTGCCAATGCGTTACACCCCCCAGTGGCCCTCTACCATGCTTACCATACGATTCTCGCTTCCAAGCAGCAACAGTTGAAGAAGCAATGTCATCCTTCCCCGATCTCACTATAGATCAGGAAGAACCAGGACAGGCTGCAACTTTAGAAGTAAGTCAATGTTTTGGGAAAAAATCAAATATAACAGCTGTTGCATTTTTTTGAGGAAGAGATTAAATGCATTTCGAAAGCATGTCAAGACTGTCGTAAGGATATGCGAAAAAGACTTACAGAGGTAATCACTGTACTTACTAGTTTTTTTTTCTTGCATTTAATGAAGCCTAAGCAACACTTTCAAGAATTTTTACAATATATCTGAAATTTTAAGGAGCGTAGATAAGAATAATGCAAATTTTCAGATCGGCCTTATGCCCCAAGACATAACCGACATCATCCAAGTAACAAATGCAAGCACATGCCAAAAGTACAGATTCGCTCGAAAAGACGAGGGAGTACATGATGGATTACCGCGTAAGCTATTATGATTCTGGATTTTAATTAAAATTATAATTTCACAAATATTTCTTTGAAATTAATAGTTCAATACCTTTTCTTCTGTGATAACCTATAACAAATAGGTTGACATACAAAATTAGAGCAAGTCAATTCCGAAGTCCCATGCAGTAACCTTGGACTCATTAGTAAAGCATTTTAAGCGTCTATGCTCTTGAAGAAGATAGCTGTACATCAACAACTTTTTTTTCTAATTGTAACTTTTCAAAAAAGATTTATAACGTGATTAACCAAAAATTAATCAAATGCATTTGCTGCATGTTGGATGCGTCCCCTCGGCAAGAACCAAATGCAGGATTTCGAAAATATGGGAGCAGAATGCGAGGGTAAAGTTTACGCTTTGTATCCACTCAAATCTCACTTGCACTATTTGTTTTGT